CCAAGTTCTGGTCTACAACCCGCAAAATAAGAAAATAAAAAGATTGATAACGAACAAGTTATGACTTTTTCAAGCCCTCACTTTTTCAGTGGCCACCCTTACAAGGTCGGATAAAAAAAGTATCGAGATTTTTCATATAAAAGGAAAACTGCAACATATTTCAATTTTGCATTTCATCTCCTACGAAGTAGTTCACTTCTGAAGCCACATGCATTATATAGCGTCGTTTTAATTGATGGCTGCATCCTTTTAGATTTTCTCAATGACTTGAAATCTTTTCAAAAAATATACACGCCAATAGAATGATGATTATTAACATTAGTGTAAAGTCATTTTCAATGAATACAGATTCAATGAAAAACGGTAGGCATTATCTCTCCCTTCTTTTATCATTTCACCCTAATAAAGGCATACAGACACTAAGGTGCATGAGGTTAATGAATTTTAGAGATTATGAGAAAGATACAATTAAGGATACAATAAAAGGAACAAGAATTAAGAAGATAGAATATAAGGAGTGGCACTGTATATTAATTTTTGTATATCAAAAGTGACTTGGAAGCAAGAAGCTTGAAGATGTTACACAAGCGAGAGCAAATTTTAATTACCATGAACATATTTATAGAAAATGCACTGGAAACTAAGTTACGGCAGTAGAAATATCCCGAATCCGGGATGCCAGGTGAAGAGCAATAACATTGCAGATTCTTGTTTGGATTTTATCAAGAATCTCTAAAAATAAACAGAAGCACCAGATCAGATACAGAAGGAGTATTCAAATAAAGAGAAATAGCAAACTTATAAATAGGTAAGATAGATTCTGATGAGAAGAAGTGTCTAGTTCGACACAGGAAACAAAATTTCTTTGCTGCACACTTAGAAATTGATTCAATATATTCTTTCAAATTTATGTCAACGGAATATCTTAGTCCGTGAAGGTGCAATCAGTCACTAGCCTGGAGTTTAGCATCGGCCATAGTAATGGAATTTAAAATTTCACTGTTGGAAGTGTTTTGTTTTTTTTGTTTGAAAGCATCGCCATCTTTTCTCCATAGATGATTTCTAGATTTACGTCCAAACAACACAATTTTGATTTCAACTGTCCATAATAATCTTTCCCAATATTATTTTTCTTTATTTTTTTGTTCTTTGGTTCGCAACAGTTTTGAGTTTTATACATTGTAATGAATAAATTAATGTTTAAAATTAATGTCTGATGTGTTCCTATAACTTGTTTCCAGAGGTTAATACTGAGTTCTTTTTGCGAATTCGTCACTTCTTTACCTATTGCCATGATGAAAACCTTATTTCGCCAATATCAATTACAAAATGTTCTGTTTGTATTTTTAGGCTAAAAATAACTACTGATAACATTATTGGAAAATTATACAATATTCCACTTAAATAATCTAGAATATTAAAGCAATTTAAATGTTTTAACATCTGAAATTTGCATTGTGCAAACATTTTTCACTCAATTAAATGGATAAATGGGATTTATTTTTTCTGTTTTCTATGCATATTTAGTTATTATGCATCTGTGTACACTTAATTATATGAAAAATAATTAGTTGGAATTACAGCAATTTGTATGTATACGAATATTTGTTTCCCCATTCCACTTATATTAACTATGTTTAGGCAACATGTTTTTATTTATACAAATTTGATAAAAGACCACTGTTATTTATTTGTTAAGGTTTTGTGTCATTTTTCTTTTTTTTTCTATTTTTTCCGACTGTTATGTTGGTTTTCAAAACATATTTACATATAATTTGCCTAATGCCCTTGTTCATTTGTATCTTATAAATCATGGTAAATGATTGTTTTTCTTTTTTGCGCTATCTCAGTTTCATGAGCCATAGAGTTTCATAGAGCTGGTGAGAACCCCCCCCCCAGCCAAAAAAAAGGACAAGAACATAGCAAATACACTGTCATTGGCAACAGACTGGGAATTAAGGGTCGACTTTGGAAAAAAAGACTAAAATTCCCTGACCACATCGTGCAAACATCATTACACCCAGATTTAGTATTTTTCTCTAACAATATTAAGAAAGTAATAATGTGGGAACTGACAGTACCTTGGGAAGAGCATACAGAAAAAGCCCACGAATGGAAGATGTTAAAATATGATGAATTAATAACGAGTTGTAAAAACAATGGATGGAAATCAAGCTGTTTGCCAATCGAGGTGGGTGTAAGGGGTTTTACTTCAAGATCCCTATGCAAAGCCCTAACTGATATTGCCTTAGAAGGTGCTAACAAAAGAAAGGCGATTCGGACCATAACTAATACAGCAGAAAGGACAGCAAAATGGTTATGGATTAAGCGTGATAGCTCTTGGACTTCAATGTAACAAATAATTATCAAGCCGGGTAAATTTGTAAATATTTTTAATATAATTGCAACATGGCAATATTATAAACATTTTTATTAATTTTTTTTTTGTATGTGAGTGGGGGGGTAAATACACGAATTGAATTGGACAAGTACAGCCAAAGAATATATCTCGTCAATTTGTAAATTGTATTATTTGTAAATATGTTGTTTTTATGTTAAACCCGTGTTATACGCGGTACCTTTTAAGTTACTATTTACCTTTTTAGCGGTTTCGGCGCGACACATCTCGTAAGACTTTTTGTCCATTACTTTTATACTTTTTTTATTCGAACGTAAGACCTTTTGTCTATTTTTCCTTTTTTTATTCGAACGTAAGACCATTTGTCTATTTTTTTTTATTCGACGTAAGACCTTATGTCTTTTTTTTCGAACGTAAGACCTTTTGCCTATTTTTTTTAATTTTACATTTATACAAACATTTCGCATTTTGTATATTTTAAATCGGAATCATAACGCGTATATAATGTACTTATAGTGTTTTTTTTTCTCTCGATCATTGCCATATATCGTTTGTATATTGTTTTTATTTTATTAGTTTGTCATCGGTTTTAAGCGATACATATATATAAATATAATATGAAGCTTCGTTAATACTTGATATGCTACAAGATCATTTCGTCATCTATTATATTTAACGACTTTGTATATAGTTTAAATCAATGTTAAGGAATATTATAGTGCTTATTGTACTTTTATTTTATTTTATTTTATTTTTAATTTCATTTTTGTATGTACGGGAAGTATATATATATATATATATATACGCCATGTTTATGGACAATTATTACCTTAATTTTGCGAATACATCTATTTAAAGTTAACATGCAATAATGTTAAGAAACAGGCTACAACGATAAAATATGATAATAGGGCTGAGTATCCCCGCCAAAAGGAAATAAAAAGTCCAAATAAAATAAAAACGGCAAATAATTAAACCATACAATACTTAAGGAAAAGGGTAAGATTTAGGAACATTAAGATTACCTCCTCGGCTATCTATCGAGACTGCAATCCACCGAAATAAGAAAAGAAGCCAGTCCCCTCTGCGGGCCATTTAAAAGGGAGTCCGCGCACCGGATTGGTTATTACAAACATCCAATCGGATGTGCGGAATATGTAGTCTTTCTTCCTCTTATTCTTTAAAAAGGCCAAAGTAGCTGTTAGCGTTTATTTGGAAGGGGGAATAAGGGGTTGATCTCCCCTGATTGGGTCGATTTGGTGATGGGGGAGTATGATGTTGAAAGACCCGAAACTCTCTGATGAACCAAATCAAGACATCACTGACGACCCCCTTGGGCGCCTACTTAAAAGTGTATTTTCGAATCGAACGTCATCTTCAAAATAAAGCTGTTTTGCGTCTTCACGCGTCAGTTCATCATTTTTTCGAGTTCTTTTCTTTTTAATGAAATATATTTCTTACGTTCTTTCCCGGATATGATAACAATGATTTAAAAAAAAAAATAATAATTAAATGGTAAATTAGTTAGAACAAAAAAAAATAAAACGCATACCGTTCCAAAATCAGAAATAAATGCTATAGATCACAGCCATTTTCTGACAATTTAAATGTATTGCTAATAACTTATTTTTTAACAACTTTATTTTTTAATCAATAAAAGATCATTTTTCTGGTCAGAAATTAAAACCGGATTCAATATCTAAAAAAAATTTCAATCTGTTATCAAATTATATTTTTAATGTTTTGTTTTCCTTTATAGAACAAAATTCAAATTTACCATTTAATTATTATTCGAAAAAGCTTGCCGCTCATTCGGAATTAATATAAACATTAACAAAAGCATACACCTATTGTCTAAAAAGATAAATGCATTGTTACTGAGATTTTCTAAAACTGAAATCTACTGACAAGATGTTAAAAGTATTATCTATGAGCAGGAATTGACAGAAATACTAAAATAATGAAGCCACATCTATTTGAATATTAACATTCATTTCTAATAACTTTCTATTAAAAAGGTTCCAATTAAGTATTATTTAATTTAATTTTAAATAGATTTATTATAAAATTGTTTATTCATAGAAATTATATCTTTGTTATAGTATTCATTGATAAATAAATAATAATTATTAATTGAAGCAATCATTCCTTAAATAATATGGCTTTTGCCCGACAACGGATATTCAAGTCATATTATTTTTCTATACAAAAACGTGCGGAATAATTTTCTATAGGAAAATTTGTTATAACATGTTACCATGGAAATGTTATCATATTATAAACAAGTTAGTTAATTTGCTAGTGTGTTACGGCGATATAAATTGAAACATCGGTTCTTGTACGGTTACCGAAGTTAAACAATGTCGATCCTTGTCAATACCTAGATGGGTGACCGCTTGGAAATGCTAGGTGTTGTAAGCTTGGATGTGCAGGGGAGTAATGGATAACTGCACGGAATCTTAATCGGAGAGCTGGGTTCCAACTTCAGTTGTACAACTTACGCGCAAATATCTTTGCAAACGCTATGAATCCACCTGTTCTCCCTCCAGCTATGGGTTAATTAGTAAGACTGGTCAGTAACTACATAGCAGAACGATTATAAGGTGCTGTAAGCTTAGATGCGCGGGTGCTGTGATAGTCTTACGGACATATCGTGCTAAATTACCGGTTCTCGTACGATCAGCGAGGTTAAGCAACGTCGTGGTTTGTCAGTACCTAGATGGGTGATTGCTTGGGAATACCAGGTGCTGCCATCATAGGTGTGCGGTGCTGGAATGGGTTTACGTATGAAATGGTGTGGATTGTGAGCATTTCGTTCTCAACGCTAGAAACAGAATCCAATAATACAGACACCACCTACAGAAAGTTTAACAACACAAAATAGGTATATCTGTCTTCTAACATTCCTTCTACAAAACTTGGGCATAAGTTAGTTATTCCCAATATTACGGTCTTTACTGCCACATCGGAAATAGAATTAAGAAAAATAATATAAATACAACAGCAATTCCTATGCCGAGATTTACAATGTAAAAGGACTTATATCGGAGAGACATCACGAAATATAAATCTCGCATCTATGTATATAATAGAGATTTACATTTAGACAACCATTCAAACACGTAATTAATACATAGGAACTAAACTGGCCATCACCTTACAATTTACAAATGACACCCTAATTAAAAACCAACATAATTCTTTACGCTGCAAGTACTTCGATGGATTACTAATAACAATATCACCAACTATAAACACGCATCATAAACATTATATGACATCATTTATTGAATCCAGTCGTACATACGTTCTCTAATCAACATGTGAAAAACCACCAACCTAATGTCTAATTGACACACACACACACACACTCACACACACACACACATGGGCGCGCGAATTTACATTATAATTTGAATCCAGCAAAGACAAATCAGAACTATTATACACTTGCACGCATAAAGCTATATTTACGGTTTTTCAGGTGGGTTTGTAATCCGTTATATTCTTGAAGCTTCGAAAGGACGTGTAGTCTCTCCTTGAATTCGGAACGCCACAAATTATACCAACACTTGTTTAACAAGTCCAACTGGACTTGGAACATAGATTAACCAGAGAAAATCAAACAACACAACAATAAACATACCAGAACTTCTTTCTTCTTTTTGTACATATCTCATATTTAATTATTTCTATTATCTTCTTCCCCTTCGTAGTTATTAAAATTAAAATTATTTGACAACTGCGCAATTACGGTCGTTTAGCTTTAAGTCGCATTCATAGTACGTAAAATTCATTAGGCAATTGCGGTTGCATAATTAACTAAATGAACTTCCCTGAATACTGTTGTGGACAGTGTGATATAAAACGGCTTGGGTGCCTTTTCTAAAGCCTGTTTGTAGGAGAGACTTTGTAAATCACAGATACAATAATAGTAACGCCTTCGAAGAATACTGAGATCAGACGCCGCTCATTCCCATATATATACTTCTCCTTTACCCGGCACTTGATCTAATTATTTCAAGATGAGGTCGACTGTGCTTTCTCTCTGGCGAGCCGTGTTCAAACCCAAATATCGGCAGCTATACTTTATTCCCATATGACAGCGCCCGAATAAGGATTCTCCCACCAACAATAAAAAAAAAAAATTAAAAATAAAAGATCTGAATCTGTGTTACGGTGAAACACACCTATTCTATAGTTAATAGACTCTCCCACCTAATATAAGTAGGATTAGTAAGAGAAACGAGTGTCTGTCGATATCTTACGACAGTTAATCGAATACGAAAGTATTCAGCGACCACAAGATTACTCTGCGTAAAACCTATTATATCAAGTTCCTAACGTTTTGTACGTCGAACCTATTTTAGGACCGACTTAGTACAAATACAAGCCTCCACTGCGAAATAACTCCACAACAATTTGACATGTCAACAAGAGGATAACAAAACGATAATTTTAAATAAATACAAAATGTATTTGCATAATATACAAGAGTAGTGTTTCGGTTAAATATAACGAAAATGAACAATGAATCAAGTAATGTCGGAAGAATTAAGTCAGTGAAGAGATACTGATCGGATAGAAGAAGTATATAATATAGCAGCGACTAAATGTTAAAAGTAGAGTCCCGTTAAGGTGGCATGATAAACAGTTTGAAAGTTCAGTTTAAATGTCCGGTGAAAGTGTTGAGTATTTGCTGGTTAAGTCTAACGATGAACCTTGCGTATTATTTAACCAAAGTGTACGGAATAGGTTGTTCGAGGTCTGGACAATATAGACAAATGGACACAAAGTTTTTTTTTTAAATGTTCAGTGCAAGCATTGATGAAATCCATGATGGAGCGACGAAAAATTATAGCCAATGTTGCGCTAATGTTCGAGTAGTTACTGGTTAACACAAATGATGAACCTTCCGTAGTAGTTAATCTAAGTGGACAGAATAAATTGATTGAAGTCTGGACGATATGCACGCAACAACTTCCTATGAAACCAGGTGAGTTAGATTGAAATAGGAATTGAAATAAGAATACCGGGAGTAGGGACTTATGCATAACCGGAAGTTTATGGATGTTGTAAGCAGGTCCATTAACGCCAATCAACCAGGTGAAATCGGTTGAAATAGGAATGCTGGAAATAGGGAGCAATGCGTAGCAGGAAGATCAGAGCTGTTGGAAGAGGTCCATTAACGCCAATCAACCAGGTGAGTTCGTTTGAAATTTGGAAATAGGGAGCAATGCTAGCAGGAAGATCAGAGCTGTTGGAAGAGGTCCATTAACGCCAATCAAATGAGTTCCTAGCAGGAAGATCAGAGCTGTTGGAAGAGGTCCATTAACGCCAATCAACCAGGTGAGTTCGTTTGAAATAGGAATGCTTGAAATAGGGAGCAATGCGTAGCAGGAAGATCAGAGCTGTTGGAAGAGGTCCATTAACACCAATCAACCAGGTGAGTTCGTTTGAAATAGGAATGCTGGAAATAGGGAGCAATGCGTACCAGGAAGATCAGAGCTGTTGGAAGAGGTCCATTAACGCCAATCAACCAGGTGAGTTCGTTTGAAATAGGAATGCTGGAAATAGGGAGCAATGCGTAGCAGGAAGATCAGAGCTGTTGGAAGAGGTCCATTAACGCCAATCAACCAGGTGAGTTCGTTTGAAATAGGGGAATGCTAGCAGGAAGAAATGGAAGAGGTCCATTAACGCCAATCAACCAGGTGTGTTCAATGCGTAGCAGGAAGATACCAGGAAGATCAGAGCTGTTGAAAGAAAGAGGTCCATTAACGCCAATCAACCAGGTGAGTTCGTTTGAAATAGGAATGCTGGAAAGAGGGAGCAATGCCTAGCAGGAAGATCAGAGCTGTTGAAAGAGGTCCATTAACGCCAATCAACCAGGTGAGTTCGTTTGAAATAGGAATGCTGCAAATAGGGAGCAATGCGTAGCAGGAAGATCAGAGCTGTTGGAAGAGGTCCATTAACGCCGGTCAACCATGTGAGTTCGGTTGAAAAAGGCATCCGGAAGTAGGGAGCAATGCGTAGCCGGAAGTTCAAGATTGTTGTAAGCAGGCCCATTAACGTCAAGCAACCAGCGTAATTCAATTGAAATAGGGATTCCTGAAGTAGGGAGCAATGCGTATCAGGAAGATCACGGCTTTTGTAAGCATGTCTATTAACACCGGTCAACCAGGTGAGTTCGGTGGAAATAGAAATGGCGGAAGTAGGGACCAATGCGTAGCCGGAAGTTCAGGATTGTTGTCTATTAACGCTGATTAACCAGGTGTGTTAGGTAGAAAGAAGAACGAAAACGATGATCTCTCTATGTGTAGCCGGAAGTAAAGATCTGCGCAAGTCTAGAAAAGCCTTCAGTAAGGGGATATTGCAGTCATCGTATCACCAAGTCTAGAAATGCTAGTAGTAGCAGAGGCTTTTGGCCGTTACAAGTGCTGGAACGAAAGCTGGAAGTAGAAGTGGAAAGCTGATGTGACGGGAAATATGCGCGGGTCGGAAACGACGGAAATAAAGTAAGTATACCGGAAGCTGAGTCACAGTAGAAATGAATGTTTCCAACTAGCGTCTATTTAGCAGAACAAAACTACTTGGACTGTAACTCAATACAGAACCCGCCCAAGCGCCCTGTTTGCAAGGAGAAGAGGCCTGCGTTCCTCCCCATTCTCTCTCTCTCTCTCTCTCTCTCTCCTTCATTGGCGAAGAGTCGTCAGCTTATATGAAAAGGTTGTATAACAATATCTCCCAAACTTATTACGTACTTAATGTCTAAAAGAAAACAAATTGTTACGAAGTATAAAAGGTATTATAGTATGTTCACGAAGAATATTTAGATTATCTTAACGAGCAAGCGACTAAAGAGCAATTAGGTTGATTACATAATCTAAATAAACTTATTATAATGGATAATAAGAGAGTAAGGTGACGTAATGAAGAAAGCGTCAAGGTCTTGAATAAAAATTGAGTCCGACATGATCACGTGAACGAAGTAGCGTAGGGCTACGATAATACGTATACTCGATCTGCTTGGGCTCTTTGTTTTAACTTTATACGTCTATCGCCTTCATCTAAACATTGAAATTCTATTTTATTCATTCATTTATCATTTGTATTATTTAGTTTTATTAATTTTATTTTCTTCAATAGGTGTAGATCAGTTAGCTTATCGCCCGGTTTATAATTCTTCCGCGTCTGTTGCATAAGACTCATAACAAGATACCTTGTTACCTGTTTAGTGAGTATTACATTTCTAGTTCCCTCTCTTTATACCTTAATAAGAATGATTGCCATAATTTTTAATGATATAACTGGCTATAGAATTTTGAGAGTACTGGTTTGCCAGAATTCTTTGGATACGTTTAGAGATTTTGCTCTGCTGAACTCTTGCATAATATCGTTTTTGTATTTTTGTTTTTTCTAGTGCCATATCGTGCATGGATATGTGTCGCCTGTAAGCACTTCCGGTGGACAACTCTGAGGCCGCACTAAAATATATCTTATGACTACATTTATTACAAAAATAAAACTAAATATGTTTTTAAAAAGCACCTATCTCTATCAACATTTCTCTAACGCTCGTGTTATCCGTACCATTTCTTGCTATGTAGAATCGGTTCTCTTGGAATGTCATCTCTTTGAGACTAACCTGAACTTTTAATTCTCTACAACTGAGTGATTTGTTCCTTGCTATCTTCCTTTATGTCGAAAGGTTTTTACTATCCCTCTACATTGCATCAATGTATTTGTTCGTGAAA